GACGCTCTTCCGATCTCCCCAAAACCCCAAAACCCCATGCTATAGATGAAATAGAAATATTCGAGAAATTGTGACTTAATTAAGAAATACTCAATAATAAATTTAGATAAATAATTTTCAATCTTAGCATCCTTTTACGGTACAATTTCTAGGCATGATGAACCTTAATTAAACTTCTGAACTTTCAAATATTAACAACTCCTAGCAACTAATGGGAGGATATATGCCTACATTGATAGACAAAATGAAAGAAGACATCCTCAGATTAAAAGCATTATGCAGACAATTAAAAGAGAGCAACGATCAATCTCAATCATAATAAACAACAGTAATGGGACAGCCAACAGTTGATCAGTAGCAACAGGAAAATGATGAAAGAGTTCAAAAATGGATTAATGAGAGAAAATATCTTCTCATAAAGACAGAACTGGTAAGTAATCATTATGAAATTTTGACAAAATTTAGGACTAAACTCACTAAGAAGGGTTGCCAGTTAATTAGATATTCAAACTTTTCTCCATATTAGTTTATAAAAATGATGATAGATATAACGAGATTAAAATTATTCTCGTTCAGTTCCTCTAAAATATTGAGACAGTAAACTTATTATAAATTTTACATTCTTTTCTATAGGAATTCAACCAAGCTTTCAAGGAGGGCAAGTGCACTGATTTCACTTGTAAATAAGTGATTGAGTCCATTGATAAGGGATTTGCTGAGTTTGATCTAATGATCGTTTTGTTAAGCTATCTATTCAAGAAAAACATAAGATTCTACTACTTAAGAGATCTCTTAAGTTCATTCAAGTAAAATCACGATGATGCTAATTCAGGATCAATTTTTGGTGAACTAAACTTATGCTATGATATGTCTCCTGAGCAAACATTCTTGAAACTTTATATTAGAAGTGCCAAATCAAAATCATAGCAGTAGTTCGAAAATAACAATGGACTTACCAGTGAGAACAAGAAAATACATTTAGATCTCATTTGCAATGAATTTGAATATGAAATACTTTACAAGAGAGCCTTTTAGCAAAATGAATCAGCCACACAGGAGTCCATAGTTGGAGACAACTTCTATGCTCAAGCGCAAAGACATAAAAGAGGATATTCTCAAGGTAATTATTCAGCAGCTTTAGGAGTTAATAATGCATCTCCAGCATCTCATCTAAATTTATTTGGTTCTCCGTCATAGCTAAAGAATCATTCTCTGATTCAACCAGATATGTCAGGAGTTAATATATTCCAGATGAATGGCTTAGCTGGTATGCAAGTAGGCTTAAATCCAAATATTGCACTCATGAACCAAAATAATCCATAAACACTTCTTTTACAACAACAATAATAAGAAGAACTTTAGAAACTACTGATCCTTAAATAGCAAGCAGCCTTGCTTCAAATTCAATAGCAATAGCAGTAACTCTTATATAATCAAATGCTTATTTAAAACAGAATGCCTTAATCTTAAGGATAGCTTCCACCAAACCTCATGCCACCTCCAGGACTAGGTGCTCCATCCATAGGCATTTAGAACAAAATGCCAGGAGTTATGCATTAATCATAAAATCCTCCAATGCCATCTAATTAGTTTGCAATCTAGAATCCACAAATAAGATCTTTCTAAGTCCCTCCTAATTAGCTAAGGCAAAGCACTGAGCCTATGAAAGGCATGCACTCTAGTTTTATAGGATCTAGTCCAAATCCTCTTATCAGCGGGGGACTCTAATAGTAGCATGAAATTTAAGCTTAGATTCAATAATAGTAAATGATAAATAGCAAATTATATTAGCAACAGTCGTTATCAAATAATAATCTCTCAGAATTCAATTTAAATAACAAAATAGAGGAAGTAAAGGTTGAAATTATATCTGACAAATAAGGAGACACTGAAGGCCCTGATTCAGATCCATTAAAGAAATCAAGGAGAACAGCCTCTATGGATGTCTCAAGTAAAGTTTTTATTCCCTCAAAGAGAAACTCATCAGCAAAAAAGAATGAGTCAGACCAACAAACTAATCTCTCAACTCCAAGTAATTTTTCGCCATCATTCGCCAATGAAACTCATCATGGTCATTCCTAATCTATGATTTAACCAGGAATGAACGCCTACGATATTTATAATAAAATTGGTGGACAAGAAATTGAAGATCCATCAGCAAATATTGATTACAGAGTGACAGGAAGACTCAAGTTTTTCAATGAAGGACAGAGCTATGGTTTCATAGTCTCTGATATAGATGGAAAGGATCTCTTCTTTCATTTTGATGATATGAAAAAAACTAATCTATCAAAATAATTCCTAAAGGATGCTAAGAACAGATTCATCGTAAGATTCTCATTTAAAGTTATGGGTTACTACGGAAAGTATAGCATGAGCAAAAAAGCAGTTGATATCGATTTGATTAAGATTGAACCCATCAATTTCTAAAGCGGAACAACTCAAGCAACATTAGAGCACATTAACGGAGGTACTGCTTCAATGCTCGGAGCCACTGGGCTTGAGCTTGCCTTCTAGAATCAATTGAATTTAAATCCTAACGGTATCAGCAGTGGATCATTCATTTTAAGTGGAGGAGCTAATGTCTCAAACATGAGCTCATCTTTTATCACTCCATCCAATGGTCTCTAATGACATGGGCAAACTTGCAACTACCATCAAGAACTTATTAATCTTGTCTTTTTATTTCACTTCACTTAAATATATTTAATCTACATCAATATTCTACTCTCCTTTATATTTCATAAAACTCATTAGGGGTTTTGGGGTTTTGGGGGAATAATGAGTGCAGCCGACT